TTTTTCCTTTTGCGGATGGCATGAGGCTAAGCCCAGAACCTCACTCGGCAGACAAGTACGACCGTCGTCACCCTGTCGCTTCGTCGTCGATTTGAGACTTTGGCCTCCGTTCCTCTTGAAGACCCCCAGGCTCTTTAGGCTTTCCTGGATCTTTCAGGATTTGGGTTTCTTAGGCTGGCGAGTGGCACCGCATTCAGTTCCGTACGCAATATCTCAAGTGTGTGTGTTCCAGTGCTCTGTGGCTGTTTGTACTGTTTTGGGACTGTTGCGCAATAGGTCTAGCATTGGGTATGGTATTGTAATCTTTCCTGGATGCTTCTCACAGAAGTTTGGAGCCTTCTTTTGTTACGTACAACCATTCACCCTTTACTTGTGGTAGCTTGATGCCATTCATCCTTGACCTGTGGCAATGGTAATGCAACTGGGGATGGCAATCAATGCAAATATAATGGTGATGATAATGCCACTCACCATATATGAGCTGTGGGACCTTGATACCATTCACCCGCGTTGACCTGTAGTATAATGGACCTGCTGCATTCACCCTGTCTGTGGGAGGGGGGATTCGGCCAACAATGAATAAACAGTTGATAATAGTTGATACCACCAAAAAGCAACACTATTTCTTTTGGCCGACCCCCCCCTAGATCTGAACTAACAAGACTCACGAGCAGACAACGGCCACGTACCGAACCAAACCGCCTTGGAAACGATCTGCAACGACAACGAGGTCTCGTCCTCAACGTCTGAACACCTTCAACATGCAAAGTACTAAACAGAGGGTGGAAAACGCACACCTGTATAACGTCCTTTTCTGTGAAAAAAAGAAGTGAAAAACGGTGCCCGCACTTGGCCGATGTACCTAGTACCCAACCCAACCCTCAGAGTCCAGCGTCTTCTTCGACCAACAACAAAAAAGAGACTTGGCCGAGCTGCCCCAAGCATCCAATTCTTGCTGCAGCGCCAGTTGCTCCTCATCCACCTCGGACTTCCGACCCCCGCCCGTCCGAACTCGGAATTGGGACGGACCCACTCCTGTGACCGGAGCCTGGTTTCGTGGTGTAAACGATGTGGTGTAAGACCCTGAGTGAAACGACGGGTTCCTTCGGGAAGAATCGGCTCTTACATCCGGCCGGGCAGGCCTGGCAGGCCTGAAGAATCCGCCGAAACTGAATGGCCTGAGACCATCCGTGAACCTGGCGGCTGGCCTATTGACCTTATAAGCCTACATTGGGGGGTGGTTGAAAGGAGGTAGGCGCAGATATTCCATACATTCGACAATATATGTCACCATCCGAGGAACTCCTGAGATCCCAATACTTGAAAGACAGATCCTTTCCCTTCCCATTCAGGTGCCTGGTTTTCCACTTGGAGGCCACTCCCTCCAATGGTCCTCATGGGTCTTACTTACGCAGATGGCAGGGCTAAAGGACGACAAGACGGAGGACCGACGAACAATCCGAAGACCCATGGCCAGGTGGTTTACTCCACTTCCATGGATTCTTTCCAGGGAGTGTATCTACTCTGGGTCCAGCAAATCATGCGAGAAAAAAAAGGGCAAACACAAAAACATACCATGCCGAAAGGAGGGCCATTTGTCCGAAGTCCAAACAGTTGGTTTTCCACGTTGCTATTGCTGGAACCCACCACCAGAAACAAATGGATGTGTCCCCAGTGCAACCTCCTCCGTTTGGAACAACCACCAGAACTGTTTCTGCTTGGCACTGGGCTTCCATCTAAGCCTTCCTCACCGCGTCGTCCTTCAAAGTTCGTCCTTCCACCCCCGTGGGCCGCTCGGGCCACATCAAAGCAGCGAACCCTTCGCCACCTCTTCCGTCGCGCCGCGCCCGAAATGCCTTTGAAGCTCTTCAGAGCTTTGACCCTCGAGGTTGAAATAGCATCAGGAATTCTATTGTTTTAACCCTCTGCCAGGACCTTCCAAACAGGTGGCTTTTGGGCACTGTCCAGGGGTCTCTAAGAGGCTATGTATAAGACACCTCTTGCACGGTGGTGGTTGCTTCTCGTCCTGTCCGACCCCCACGACGGGGGTCACGCACCTGACGGAGGCCACGCGCGGCAGCGCCACGTGGGCCCCTGGCGCGGTTGGGGTGTTCAATGGCCTCCAACCTATGGCCGCGATGGCCTCCACCCTATGGCCGCGATGGCCAATGCTTTTCATGTGTGAAAACGGACGTTTTGTGGTGCACTTTGGGAGATTGAAACCGTGTCCAAGGAGGCTTAGAGACTAGACGGTGCCCATTTTAAGGAATGTGATCGCCACCAAGCCCAACATATACATTCCTTGCCTCTGTAAAATGGGAAGTGGCGTGAAAACCACCTGTGTTGGTCTTCAGATTGAACATGGTCATCCGAGTCTTCCGAGCCATGCCATCCACTTCCATCCACTTAATCCTTCTCTCCCTGTGCTCTCGAATGAACACTCGCCTGGAAGCCGTAGAGCGGCGCCACCCACCTGAGTGAGAGGCCACGTTCAACACGGGAACTCAGGTGAGGGAGCTCTCAGGAGATGATCCTGATCTGATCCTCTGACAGTCTTGGAATCGTCGGAATCATCGAAATGAGGATGCCAGTTTGGACCCGTTTGGAACCATCCATCAAGTGTCAAAAGAAGCTTTCTATAGAAACCACACAGGTGAATGTATATACTTTAGCCTTACCCTACAGTCCTACAGTAGAAGTCCAAGTGTGAGGTCAAGACGATCTTGCTTGCACCACCGAAGTGTTCAGGACATTCCCCAACTCGGGGAGCCCCACTTTCGTCAGATTTCCCAAGGCCAGCTGTGCCGCCCGCGGCGCCGGTTTCATCGATGAAGAAGACCGAGCGGAAGAAAGCTGCGTCCGCCCCGGATCCCAGTGACCATTGCAAAAAAGGAATCAGGTCTTCCTTCGGCCGGTGCTTTTGAACTGGAACCATGTCGTGGTCGGACTTGGATCCACCAGATGCCCGGAGCCCGTCATGGCACCCGGAGCCCCGTTTCACTCACTCCTGCGAAGCTTGACCATGTCAAAACCTGGCTGGGAATCAGTCCCACATCAGTCCCCCGGTCATCCGCCACGCCGGTCCCGGCGCGGAACACCGTTCTCTGAGCCGCCGGGCTGGCCAGTCCCCCCAGCAGAGCACCTGCGGGTACAGACACTCGTCGGGCCCAGTGGATGATGGAGCCAACTCGCCAGCCGTTCTCCATCCAGCCCATGGTCTGAAATCTCAAATCGACTTCGAACGTTGACCTGGAACCGGCTCTTTCAAGGCGTCCTTAGGACAGATTCAAGTTAGATCGAACGTTGTTTCGATTCAAGATGATTTGAGTCGATTCGGAAAAGTCTGTGAAACTTCAGATCATGATACCACCTGCGACATGTTTCAGCCACCAATTTACGGCGACCGGCGACCGGCGACCGGTCCTGGTATGCATGGAGCCAACATGGTCCTATATATTTACATGATCTTACATGATCGTATACATGGTACCTCGCTCTCATCATCTTGCATCAAGCTGGCTGGAGGGAGAATCGGAGGAAACACACAGATCTTGCCAGCTGGATCTCTCTGAGCTGCACCTGCCAGAGCTGCCGAGGACGAAGAGCCCATTTCAGCCCTCCTGGCACGGGGACCAAGTGAATTTTCCCTGACCATCCATGGGATCTGGCATCTTTACCTATGGGGTGGTGAAAAATGGGTGAATGTACCAGGAGTTTCAAAGGTGATTCACTCCCCCGACGTCACAGGATCTGTTCCCAGTGTACGTAGACTGCCCGATCGGCCAGAAAGATCTCGGTGGATCTTCGTGAACTACAGTCCGAACAGAATCGATGGCGGTTTTTCGAGTAACGGCAAAGGAGATGGCTCATGGCAAACACTTAAGCCATGTGTTCCTGGATCTTCGGAGTATGTAAAAGTTCTATAAAGTTCTAACCTTCCGGACAATGTCTGCAGTTGGATCATTTTCAGATGGTCTTCACGAGCTAGACACGCCAGTTCCTCGAGCCTGTTCGGACACCGCGTCTCCGAACCCCCTGGGAACGTCTCTCTTTTGGGCGACGCGGTCTTCGTGTCGTGCCGGACGCGCCCAGTTACTGGGTGTCTCCACGGCCATCGGTCATGTGGGTCGTTCAACTGGTCGATTTCAGCATGCTCCTTCGCCTCCAGGGCCCTAAGGCCATCCATTGCCATCAGGTCTCAGAAATGGTTCCCCAAGAATTCACTGAACATCTCCGATGTTGAGGCACGGGATGCTTTCAGAAACTGCACCGAAAGCTTTGTTCTCCCTTCTCCAAGACGCCCGGAATCCTCCGGGCAGGGGGCCGAGGGATGCCAAACCGAAGCCAAGCATCGAGCCTCACACTCCACGTGGGGAGCTCTACAAGATCTAAAAGTCACTAGAGGAGCTGTTAGGATGCACCCAACACTGCTCTCAGCCCGAAAACTCACAAAAAAATTAAGCAAATGTACGGTACAGCACGTATTCGCACCAAACAAGCACATGGCACACCCCGTCATTCGAGAAAAAGGGTTGGCGAAAGAATCATTGGAAACGACACGCTTTCGGAAACGGCGATGTTTCGAAACAGCTTTCGGGAACTGGCCGCAGCTCACAGCACGTCCACCACATGACAGCTCCAGGGCGTCCGATGCTCCTCGGGCGGAGAAGTGGCCAGAGAGATTGAAAGTCCGACTGAAGTGGCCATTGCTTCTGTAGGTTGGAGGAAATGATCATTAAGTCCTTCCAGATCGTGAAAAATGATGATAAGTTTGCTTCTAGGTTGGAGGCCATTGCTTCTAGGCCATCGCTTCTATAGGTTGGAGGCCATCACTACCAGGTTGGAGGCCATCGCATAAATGGTTTTGTACAATGCAGGTGATGACTACAATCAGTTCATGTTCTACTTCCACAGCGACGTCATGTTCTACATGGGCAAGGAAGCTACCAAGCCTTGATGTAGCTAATTAGCATTTTAGTATCCCTGGATTTTCCCAAGTGACCGAACCTGCTCCCCTGGTTTCAGATCATTATATTCTATGGGCTTCTATTTTACGTCAACTAAAAAGGGACTCCGAATTTGGTCACTGGGAAGGTCCTGTGCAATTGACATGGCGCCCATCAACGTATTTAGTAGGTGATAGTGAAAGAAGGGCCCCCCTTAAGCTGTTTTGCAGTATCTTCGGGGTTTGCCTTTGCTTTTTCATGAAAATCCCCGGTTCCGGTGGCGTCCGAAACGACGCGTGGCTCGCCACGGACTGTCCCGTCCCGATGCAGCAGGAGCAACCACAAGGAGCATATATATATATATATATATATGAGGATGTACTTCTCTGAACGGGGTGAATAGAATATGGAAATACAAGATCTGTGCACAAGTTCCTGGTAAAGAAATAAAAACAGTCCGGCCATCTACTGAATTTACTGTCTTCATGTTTCTTTGTGTAAGTCCCCATCGCCCAAACGGAATCGACAGCTTCTTCCCAACCGCGCCCACAAACGGTGAAATAAAACCGCGCCGAGACAGGCTTTTTCAACACCCAGAGATTGGTGAGAAACCCAAAACCCTAAATATCCAAAGTAACTTCTCAGGTACGGTGATGTGTTCGACACTCTCATGTCGGTTTTGTAGGGAAAGACCCCTTTAAAGGATTCGGGTCTGAACGTCTCCAGAGGTCTCCATCAAACGGAGCAGACTGGCCACGTAGCTTGGCAGTCATGGGAGGGAAACCCGATTAGGTTAGCAGCAACCAGCAGCTATGAATCATGAAGCATCATGAAGCCATACCGGTTGCTTCCGAAATCGGGGTCTGGCTGGACAAGCCTCGCCTCAAAAGATCCATTGGACACTCATTGGAAGTCCGATGGGGCCAACAAACATGATCTTCCCTAGCAGCTATGGTGTTTATGGCTTTAAACCCATTGAACACCTCATGGACTTCATGGAGTTCCGCTTTCTGCTCCATCCGCCCAAACGGTTTGGCACCGTCCCCAGCGAACGCACTGTCTTCCGACCCGCACCAACCCACGACCCACCGGACGCCGCGGAGAGCGGCTGGCGGATCCAAAGGGTTCACCTCTCCAGGCGCACAGCCTGACGGCGCCCGGACGTCCGTTCCGAGGCGCTTCGGTGAAGAGCCCCACGGGGCTCTGGAGGCCGAGGCGCCCGGGTGCAGGGGCGAGAGGCGACATGAAGCGACATGAAGCTAGTAACCAGGTGCATCGCAACGAAGCTAGGACGCTACTTCACAAGGGCACTAAAACAAAGACTGCTAGTAGACCCAGCAACCGACCTTTATTTATAGGTAGAGTCGCAAGTGTCGATACAGGTTGGAAATATGAAACATAGTGAAAAATTACATTGTCAGCTTCTGCATATGAGTGACCTAGCGTGGGTTGGAATCTAGATTCTCGTCTGACCACAAGAAGAAACTCTTTAGACAAGGGCCTGTCCAGGATGAAAAAACAAAAGATGAAAGTAGAGTAAAACTCCACATCATCCAACCGATAGTGCCAACCACCAGGCCATCAGTGCCAAGCCACTCGAGCGGCAACCAGCCCATGTGGAGTCCTTCCTTGGAGGGGTGGTGAGACATGGGATGCCATCCGTGTGTCTATCCATCCGATTCCATCTACCTGGGTTCTGAAGTACTGGGTAGAACCACGGTGACCGGTGCACCAAGAATGGCATGGTCGTCTTTCTCGGATCTCGAAAGACACTCTTTTCCTTTTGAATTTTCCCAGACACTCCATGTATATCACATACATGCCTCCGTTGGTGTGTGGTTGAAGAGGGGTCAATGGGGCGGCAGATATTCCAGTTCCATGAGCCGTGTCTGAGTTTCGAAGCCAGTCACCTTGGAAGGAGAAGAGGGAGCCCGGGATCTGGAGATGTCTTCTCTTCTACGAGACTCTAGGTATGTCCACGATGGTCTTGTCATTTCGCTTCATCAAGGGGGTCTCGTGGGGATGTCAACGGAAACACGGAAGAGATGCTCAACGAATTCCAAATAAATTCTACCCCACAGCAGGGAATGAAGAGTCGTCCGACATTCGCAAGACGACATTCGCTCTACGGTCAATCATATACCCTGCCGTTTGAACAATTTGGGCCTGGCTAGACACTTGAAATACACGGTGAGAACAGGTGTTTCATACTACCTCCGGGGCTCTGGTCGGGCCACCATATATACAAAAGGCGCTACCGTACACTCTCTTGTTTAAAATATATATAATGAAATAAACACTACTTTACTTTGAGTAGTAGTCCCCACCATGGCGTATACACTGGCATTCTATCTGGCATATATTTTAGCATATTTTCTGACATTCTTTCTGGATCTTTCTGGCATGTAGCCGGACAATCTTTTTGGCATGCGTTCCGACATTCTATCTGGAATTCTATCGGTGACATATTTTGGCTTTTTATCTCGAGATATATGTTCTGACCATCTTTCTGGCAATCTATTTGGCATCTCTTCTGGCATAAATTCTGACAATCTTTCTGGCAATCTATTTGGCATCTCTTCTGGCGTTCTGCATGTTCTTTCTGGGATTCTATCCGGTGGAGCTCACAGAGGTGATGGAGTGGGAGAGGAGAGAAGGAGAGGAGGAGAAGGTGACGAAGGTGACAGGTCTGGAATGGTCTGGATAATAAGGTGACACCACCCTCACCTGGCAGGTGGGGAACAAATAAGAAAACAAATAAGAACACCAAGCGTCTCGTAACAGGTATAGGCTGCATCTTCACAGCAACCTGTAGAGCGGCAGTCTTCTGTGGAGCTGCTGCAGCGCAGAACCTCACAGCTCCAGGGCGTCTGGTGTTCCTCAGTTGTTGGTTGCGCGTTTCTCAGTTGTTGTTGGGGTCCAATCTGGTTTTTTGTTTGCTTCGAGTTGTCTATTGGCTGGCTCAAACATGCCATCCAAACCCACGCAAAGGGGATTTCCTCGAGGTCTTCATCGTCAAGAGCGACAAAGCGTGGATGTCAAGACTATTGTTTGGAAAACTTGCTGTTGGGAACGGGAAGATCACATTTCTCGTCGTGGAGTTTTGAGCGGGCAAAAGTCAGCAGCAGCCAATTCACTTCCAGTTGCTTCCAAAATCGGGGGCTTCTGAAATCGGGGTGACCCGGCTAGACAACCCTGCCTCACGTATAAGTTCCCATTGAATACCACTTGGAAGCGCAAAAAAAAGGGGGCTATATGTCTCCAACTGTGACAACTGGGATCTTTTTCAGGGTGATTCCATCACCATCCATCACCCAAGAACCAGTGCAACCAGAATGCCAACTCCAACGAAAAAGAGACTCAAAGGAAGTATACGTCAATGCCCCGCTTCAAACAGCACCACTTCAATGACTCTATCCCAAAAATAAAGCAATTGTGCTGTTGACCAGAACCCAATCGTCTCCAAAAAAACACGCTTGGAAGGTGGTACCATCGTCTCCATCCATGGGCGAACGAACATACCACGTCCTATCTGGCATCCGTTCACCAGCGCGACCGAACCGGCGCTGTCTGGCATGGCATGGACCAGGGGAAAAAGAAACAAACGGGTCTCTGAAGATCCAGGTCAAATCCATCACCGAAGGAAGGATCACTGATTAATCAGTCACCTGGTGTTGCCACTTCTTGAACTCTTTTAGTTCACTTTGTTCACCTCCCAAAAGTAGCTGCCAGGTTGGTGAGATGCTTCACACGTAGTCCGTAGCTGCCAGGTTGGAAGCCTTTTTTTTCCAACCCGATTTCAGCCCAGCCGTCACAGCGACGACGCACGCAGCCGCACGCATCCACCGCTTCCACTCACTCCCGTGCGACCCGGTCCCCCGTCGACACCACGACCGGCCGGATCGAGGTGTGAGACATGAACTGGGACCCTGGACGTACTACATGGATGGGCGAGTTACGGCTCTGAAAAAAGACCATCCCCAATTCCAGCATACCTCGACACCCGGATGCTCCTGGTTGACCAGGGCGTAGCGGCCAGGGCTCTGGCGGCTCGTTCGGATGGATGCCGGGAGTGCAGCTCTCCCTGCAGCCGGCCCAATACTGATCCTTCTCGTAGCACGTGTAGCCCGGATCCTGCGACCCAGAGGCCGAGGCAGGGGTGAAGAGTTCAGGGGTGATCCAGAGGCATTAGTAGTAGTGCCAAGAGCTACTACTTAGTAGCTTTTTGCTCCGTTCGTGGCGATGCCCTTGTTACTAGTAGCTATTTTGCTCCTGGTAGTAATGCCAGGAGCTAATCCCTTCATTGCATCCTTGATAAACAACCTCCTGAGGAAATTGATGCATGTAGACATGAATCGCAGATCATCGGCTTGGTGTTTGCTTTGATTGAACATACTCTTCTGGCGTATTTCCGTCAAAAAAGATATCCTCATGGGCTGAATCCGCCCTGGGGTCTCAAAAGGTCTGCAAATCTGCAGTGAGCCGTCTGCAAACGGCTCAAAAGAAGCGTCTGGAAGATACTCTGGAAGATGTTGTCCATGAATTACTGCGTGTTCGTTAAACCTCTGAGAGGTCTCCTTCCAAAACCATCTTCTGGGCAACACATACCTGCTCGATCGCACACATGTCATGCCAACGATAGATCAAATGAAAAACCAAGGTGGACTGAATTGGAACATAGACATGAACCTATCAACGATTCGATGTGGATGTTGAGTGGGAGAAAAACGACGAAACGAAAAAAAAAAAACATCCGGGCCTCCACGGAGCTCTTCCAATCCTTTCTGGATAAATGTTCCACCTTTCATTAGGATGATGATGGCGCCTGGTTGCAGGCCTTTGCATCTCAAAAATGGTGATCACGTCTGTATCGACTGTGATCACGGTTTACTGGATGTACCTCGCAAGATGTACCTCGCAGGTCTAAGAAACCTAGGACCCCTTGGGAGTGAATGTCTCTTGATTCTGGCAAGAAATCTGCACGTCGATTCTTCAAAAAAAAAATGTTTGCACCGTTGTTGATCCTCACCGACCGCCTTTCATCGGACCCAAGCCGAGAAAAACCACCATCGATTTCCACAGGGTTAGATGCCCACTCTCCCGACTCGTCCCATCCTGGCAGCAACGCGTGGATCTGCAGTCTTCGGTGGGCGTGGAACACCGACCTGGGCTGGGACGCTTGGAGCCGATCCTCCCGACCGATGGTCCAAGCCCACAGAAACTCTGGATTCCCATCGATTGAAAAGAACTGACATGAAAATCGTGTTCACAAAGCCAGCTCGGAGCAATACGGTATAATGGTCCGGAAAAAATCCCTAAAAATGCCTTCCGAAATGGTTGAAACGGCTTAAAAGACATCAGTACTACTAACTATGTTTTTTTTGACATGGCTTGGTGGTTTTGGAACTTTTGAAAAAAAAAAAACAAATGAACAACTCCTGAAGAAAACAACACATCACCTCACCAGCCCCCGAGATGTTGTGAAAAACATGAGCCTCTGCGCTAAGATGTGTGTATCACTTTAGCTATAAAGGACCAGCTGAGAAGAAAAGCCAACAAAGCTATCTACCTAGCACTTCCAACGGGTGCCCTGTCTGGAGACCTATAAGTATAGGGTAGGGTAGCCAGGACACCCAGACAGGATGATCCCGGTAGGAGATGTCAAGAGACTTGGCGTCGGTGTGGGCGCTGGTGTTGGTGGCGGCGATGGTGCAGGCGGATCGCCATACAGACCAGCCATTGAGGCAGACCTCCGAAGATCGACCCACTGATCAGCTGCTGACAAGGAGTTCCAAAAAACATCTCAGCCAGAGGGCACTGCCCTGCAATTGGCATGTGTTCCAAACCATCCCCAACTTGCATGGCTGGCCGCTTCGCGATTCCTATTGGGGAGGGCACACATGTTTTTCTGTACCGTGTACCCTGAGAATTGCACCTGAGAACAGAACTCACCTGTGAATTCGAACATTGTATCTTTATTAATGCTTTAATAAACCAGGACACCCGGACCAGGAGTGTCTATTGATAGCCCCTTAGAGGTGATTCGGGGTGTCCATTAACCACCCCTTGTGGGTCCTAGAATGTGCTTTTCGTAGTCAATGACACAAAAATACCATTGACTTTACTTTGAGTGATCCCCACCATGGCATTACCCTCTGGTGAAAGAAATCGAGGATTGAACTCAATAGCTTGAGCTCTGCGATATTCTGCAATCTGGTTCACCATCCGCTGTTGCCACTGCTGCCACCCTCCCCAAACTCCCAAATGGCCCGTCCCCACCGCGCAAAAAAACGGCCCTCGAGGAGGGGTTGGTCGGCGACCGGGGTCGGGCGCGCGGGATGTATACAAACCAACCTGCATCCATGGTGATTTCGGTGGGTGTTCGTTGGGGCGCCTGAGGAAGTCGCCGTTCAAGGTAAAGGTGCTGATCGCCACCCAGCTACCGGAGTAGTAGCCCGAAGAGAAGCCCTCGGAGCGGGTTTGCACCACCCAGAGCGAACCCGCCGGGGGTTCACCGGTCGAGGTTGAGGTCTTGAGGGTTTCAGGTCTGCTGGACCCGAATCCGGACTCGGTTGGGATCAGACCATGCTTTGCAGAGGGTCGAACTTGGGTGGAACCGATTGGTTTTCGACCGAGAAAGGGCGGCTTTGGGTTTTCACGGAGCGTTTGGGTAGGTCATGTGCACGGTAAATAAGTCCGGTTTGGAAAGTATCTCTTTTGCACGACGAGCTCGCCTGCGTTCCAGGTATATACCGTTGTGGAGGTACCAATTCAGAGCGTCTCCATGTTGATCATCTGAGACCACAAAGAAGTTGACAATACACTGTGGATACGGAAGCCACAGTATGCCCAGGTTGTGAGGATTGAATAGCAATTCCTTGTTGGGAGTAATGGAGTCTAAGACTATAGAAAAAATGGTCCCAATTTATGTCATGAAAAGGACATGCCTTTACTTCAGTGAAGCCAAATACAGTCTTTGGACTCCTAGGGTCCTAGGAAATTCGGACCTTTAGGAAAGAATGGAAAAGAATCTGAGACACCTCTCATGGCTTGGCGCTAAGGCACACCTTTGGCCACCCGTGCGCCACCCGCATTGATCAGCTCCTGCTGCCGCTTGATGCTCACCCCATCATTCTGCGCCGGAACGACCAAGGAGGAGAAGGTGGGCCCCGCAATGAACATGTTCCAGGACCAATCCGGGTGCACGCCTTAGTCACCCAGTCGCGGGACTGTCCGGCTTAAGTGAATGAGGCCCATGAGGCTGGTCTGGGCTCTTTTCGGTCTCGTGATGTCGGCTGCTTGGCACTTAGCGCCTTCCGGGGGCCTCCCTTCCCCGGTCTCCGGTCCCCTCTCGGTCCTTTTCGACGCTTCCTTCGCACCCGGACCGCTGGATGCGGGGGGGTGTCGACCGAGGGACTGGTCACGAGGCAGGCGTCGTCGATCCGGAGCTCGCTGGCCCAGTCGCAATGGGATTCCTCCGGCGGCTGAGGGGCGAGACAGGGCGTCGACGCGCGAGAGGGGCGAGGCGAGACGGCGAGCGAGCGAGGCACCGGGACCGGTGCGGCCGGTGGAAGGAATGCGAAACCACGGATCCCTGGAAATTCTCCGGGGTGAATGTTAGGTATACAGTATACACTCAGCATTGTTCAGCGACCAGGACATCTTCCCGAACAGGTCGTTTGGTCTCCAGCAAACGCATAGGTCCAGAGGGTCCAGAGAGAGAGAGAGAGAGAGAGAAGCCAAAAGGCTCAGGCTCAAGTCAGGCACGCGAGTCTTTTTTGGGGTACTAACATGCCTTCGTAACACCGGGAGACGTTTCAGGTGGAAGATCTGGATCCGATCAATCCCTTTCGGTCAGATCCAGCGACCAGGTCTTTGGATCGGTCAGAAACCACCCCTACCGCGACGTCATGTTTGGACGACCACGCATTTGGGATCGCCGCGGCGAAAACGAGGTCGACTTCTTGAAAGCAGCTGAAGCTGAAAGGGACCTGTCCGTCCGGAAGGGAGCCCTAAATCCAAGCTGTTCCAATCAGAACTTGAGACCGGGGCTCGATGGCCGGCCCTCTCTTGCGAAACAGCAGCGATACCGCGCTGATTCCCTCGAACAGCATCCAGAAGGATCATAGCTTGAGGTTTGCTCATGTCAAAGCTATATATAGCTATTGCTATAGCTAGTCCGCTTCGAAGGACTGTACTTCACCACCGACCGTGCCAGTGGCTCCACCGTGGGACTCGTTCTCCTCTGCTCCCTTTTTCGACGGAATCAGCTCCTTGCTCTCCAACATGACGACCAGTGGATCCAAGTACCTCGATCGCCCCAGGTCGGTTCGACCCGACTCGTCTCCTCAAACGACCAGTGGTCACCGTGGTCACCTATATATGGTCAGGTGCACCTATAGTCCCATCGCCCGAAGTGTGTGGAATTCCTAGTCAAACCATTCCGGGCCCCTCATATCGAGATCTCTTCTAAAGGTTTTGTTCGTTCAAAGTCCACCAGGGCCCCCCGGGTTTCGGGGTGTCCAATCATAGCTCCGTCAGAGGTGATTCGGAGGTCCATTAAGCACCCCGGGCCTGGTAGGGGGGCCCTGGTACATATTAGTCATGACTCTTCAGTGACTAGAGGAGTTCCAATCATGATCCAGCCTGATTCATGCGATGAATCTGTCCAACGTGCAACCGGAAAAAAAGAACAGGCCCCGAAACGCACAAACCAGGGCCCGAGACCCCAGTGATTCCAATCAATAAAAACTCACTGACTGACCCAACAAGACTCACCCCACAAGACCCATCATCCCCTTCCTAGCTCATTCCTGGCTGTCTCTGGAACTCTCAACCAGCAACAGCAATATCCAGCTCATACTCCAGCTCACCCTATCCTTCCGACTCCTCGTTCCTCTTTCCTCTCACCTCAAGGACTCCCCCAAAGAAATACTGTCTCGCACGCATCACGAACGCTTCCGGCAGCTGGGCACTGGGTAGCATTGTGCATGGCCTCCTTGGGATACAGCAGGTAGTCCAGCGCCACACGCCAAGTCGTTCGGCTCGCCTGCGTTCGGCACGAGAAGTGGCGTGGGGGCGGCTCGGGCGGGTGGGGCGTCAGCGGCTCTGGTAGCATTTCTATAGGTATCCAAGTACCTTCTCAGAAGGTGATTGCAGACACTCTCGTGTAGGTTTGGAGGGTCCAGTCGTACCTTCTGAGAAGGTACGACTGGATCCCTAGGGCATGAAGCGGAATGTGCGTAGTTGGAACAGGTGAGCTGGGAGCGGTTTTGTAAGCAATTGTTGCAAGCCACAAACGGAAACTCACGGTGAACTCAGCTGTTCTTCGTTTTCTTCCCCCCGATGGCCTTTAGCGACGAGCTAAACCTGACCAACGACCGTCCTGCGTGATGAAAACTCGTTCAGTCTAGCAGAACCCATAAGTGAGTCCTTCGCCGAGGTGGACTCGGCGGAGGTGAGGTCCGAAATGGGAAGTCTGGCGGAGAAGAAGATGGGGCGGTGAGGAATGTGAATCCAGGCCAGGAGAGTCCAGTCATACCTTTTGAGGAGGTAACCTCCTGGAGCCCTAGGGACATACATGTCGGTGCCCAAAGATCCGGGACCCTAAAGGTGTGAACATCCACTTCAGATTCGATTGAAAGCTCCCTGAAATGGTGATGGATGGCATGGGCTCTGAAAAAGAGCAGCTTTCTTCACAAACAGGTGGTGCACTCTGAATGCCCTGGAGAGTAGATCATCACTAATTGATATTTTTTATTAATTAGACTTAATTTAGACTTGTGGGATTCCGGGGCCCTCTGGAGGATGACGCTTAGTAGAGTCTTGGCTGCTAAACCACAGGTGCTAAGTTGACCATGTTTACTGTTGGAACGCCCAAGTAACTACACCGTAATTATGTAATTAGATGAATCTCAAAGTGTTCTAAACACACTTGATGTGATGTAGTGGAATATAGTATATTGACCTTTCATGCACAACCGTTGTTTTACATTGTTTTACTGCTATGTAGTTTACCATTTTTACAAACTGGTCAACCGAACATAACCGAACTCTCTTTATGGTCTGTGAAGGCTAGTGGAAACCAGGATGTGGGCGTTCGCAGCATGCTTCTAAGGTTCTTTTTTACATGATATTCGTCCATACCACACAAACCTCCGGCCGGATGGGGAGGATGTGTTTGATCTCGAATCACTCCATGCAAACCTATCTCTATGATTCTCTATCGATGTCCGAGTGCCCCAAAAAGAGCCCCATGTGTGGGGACTTGCCGACAAACTTGTAGGACATTGTAGAATGAAATGCTCCACCTCCCTGCATGTTTGCTTCTTGAACTACGGCTACCCTGACCGTTCGCTACACTCATGTCCCGCCCCTTAGGCCCCACGGCCCTTACGCCCCGCCTCCGAGCCATACTGCGCGCCCGGCGTGCCGCTGCCGGTGAAGTTGGCGTCGGCGCGAAAGGGCCCGACGCCGTCGGCGCTCTCCCACACGCGCGCCCAGTTGGTGATGAGGCCTGGATTTTGAGGTGATCGGTGAACATGAAGGAGACTGGGGTTTCATACCAATCGAAACGACGTGTTAACTGTGTTTATGTGTGTTCTTTGTGTTTATTCCGGGTGATTCATGTGTTAACTACCTTTTGTGTTTTTTTTGTGCTTTTTGTGTTTAGTATATGTACAGGTGTCTGGGTATGTTCTCTGTGCTACCTGGATGGAGTTGGTCGTTTGGGGCAGTTTGCTGCAGGAGTTTGCTACACGTGGTGTCTATAGGCTCGATGGAGAGCTTTCTGTGGGTTGATGGTGTGTTCCATCGGTTCTCATTCTTGGCTGGTTGGGTTCTTGGGTGGGTTGTGTACATTTCCGTGCTGATCGGGTTGATGGTTCCCGAAAAATCACAGCGACACATCTAAGACTTGGCAGCTGGAATCCAACCCGCGGCTTCGATGATTCATCTCGCGGAGAAAAATATGGACTCACATCATGCATGTGCTGCAATAGTTTCTCACCAGAAGTCAGAGCTTCCTCTAAAGTCTTTTTGCTATGAAGGGTCCCCTGCGCTTGACTACAACTTCCAAGATACGTATAACTTACAATATTCCTTCCCTCCTTCCTTCCTTCCTTCCTTCCCTCCCTCCCTCCTTCCTTCCTTCCTTCCTTCAATCCCATCCCATCCCATCCCATCCTTTTTGGAATCCCTGACTGATGGCTCCAAGATCTCCAACATTCCTCTAAGAATCTAAGCCTTTGTTTCTCTTCATCTACATACATGTCCAAACCAGAACCCTAGCGGCCCTAGGCCCCCCCTTGGCACTCGCTGCTTTGGGTAGTCCTGAGTCCGCTTCAACCAACCGTCCGGGTCCCACCAACTGCGTGGCTTCGCCGCGCAAATCACACCCCCCCCTTCCGACCCGGCTGCTTACTGTGGTGTCAACGAAAACGAAACAAATGAGTCTGTCAGCGGGCCTGATCATCCTCACTTCAATGAATGTCTATACAGATAATGAAACATCAGAAACCCGCCACTCGGCGATGGACTTTTCGGAAGATACCAGATACCAAAACTTCTGCAGGCCCACTCAACATGACGAGTGATGGAAGAGCCGAGCCAAGGCGCCGTTGCTGTGACACTGCACGGCGTCGAACATCTTGTAGCTCGTGGAGATCACCTCTTCGCGGAGACGCGAAGAGACGAGTCTGACTGGAGGACACCGGAGACGACACCAGGACCCTCCAGGACAAGGCCAAGGCTTCGGGAGAAGTGTGACCGGAAGGCGTTCGCAGGCTTGTGAACACTGGAGAAGTGTGACCAGAAGGAATGACGTGACTGGGGGGGTCTCTGCTGCGACAGGCTGCGACAGTCTCTGAGACGATTCTACAGATCTGCAGAATCCAGCGGTGATAGTACGCTACTGGAGAGTCCGAAAACTCCTCTGTCTCACAGAGGAACCAGTGGTTCCGTTCCATGGATGGCTTGGGATGAACCTCCAAATACCGGTTTGAAAGAAGTGCCGTCGTTGAGACATCTTGCCGGATCAGATGTTGCTGTTGTACCAGCGCCCGAAACCTACGTGACCACCTGACACTTGTTTTGTCCCCATTTCATCCACCAAAACTCGGAAATTGACCTGTAGAGTGGGATGCTGCTAGGGAACTGCTTGTTCAACATCCACATTGCGCACCTCGTGCGTGCGAGGTGGAGTTTCACTGATTCCAACTGGTCCAAAACCCCAGGTCATCGCAGGGGTCTGAAATGACTCCAGAGCTCCCAAAGGTGTAGAACATAGAAGCCAACGTAGGACATCAAAGGACTAGGCTTCCAAAGTCTTTCATGGACCGGCTTCCAACCACCCGTTAAGGTTCAATGCTTTGTACCGAACCACCATTGTTTTACTAAGGATTTTATACATACTAAGACAAGGTCCAGCATCTTTTTCTGGAATGGACTTCCAGGGGAGGAAAACAAAAGAAAAAAAAACGTCTGCCTCGTCCTGCCACGTCTTCCCGTGTCTTTCCTCACGTTCTCGACTACGTTTTCCTCACGTGTCGGTCACTCCGTCTGGGCGCGCGGCACGGTCGCGCTGCTCCGTCCGATGTCGGCGCGGTCTCGCCTTGTTCCACTTGGAGACGTAGGAAGCTCCTTCTGCATCGCTACTTCCGATGCCCTGTGTCATGAAGTCACGGCAGAGGCGATAAGCACCTGGGGAGTGATAGCCTGGGACGGAGCAGATGGATGGATGTTCTCCACAGCGATGGATCGTTCTACACCTTGATATAATGGGCTGAATCCCGAATCAACTAAGGATTTTACATGATTTTACACTACAAAAACCAGGTCAACCATTTTTTTTTATGGTCTTGGAAGTCTAGGGTATAGATGGCTGGTGATGAGTCACTCGGTGCCTTTTCCAGGTGCCTTGGAACCTGGTGTCTTGGAACACGGCATGGAACAGCTGCGACAGCTGCGACAGCTCTCGAAAGAGGAGAGCTGCTTGCGAGTCCCAGCCCTCCGACGCTCTGCATGTAGGATGCGTGGAGGTATGTCTTTTCGTAGAATGAGCTTCTGACGCAGTGCCTATTCGCGGCCCTGGTGAACAAGGGAACCCTTCACTTTCTCAATTTCGAGAGAAAACTTGGAAGGAATGTGACTTATATCTACCTGTGGCCGCCCACTGACTGGCATCATGGAAGGAGGATGCCCTCTTCAGTTTCCTCACCCGGGTCAGAAAATTCCAACCCTGTTGATCTTGGAGAACGTTCACTGCCGTGACGAACACATGTTTTCGTGGATGGCATGGCCCCTTGCAAGAGCACTCTCCTCTACACGCAGGGGGGTGAACTCCACTCCACTCGTGAGCCGAAGAAGGAGGGTCGAAGAGAGAGCTCAACGTTGGAGGGATTCCGGGCCCACCTGGAAGAACTATAGGCTGAATCCCAAAGAACCACTTTGACCGACACTACAATCTAACCAGGCTCCACCCAGTTTTGTTCTATTCCAATCGAACCGGGTCTGGTGAATTGGGAGTCTTCGATCAAGTTGTCCAACTTGTCCTGTGGGGGTCGCCTCTCCTCGCGTCTTGAGGGTCGACCACGGGGGTTGGAAGGTTGCGATGCATCAAGCAGGTCTCTCTCAAGTTGGATCCAAGTACTTTATTCAAAAAATCGTCGCAATCCAAGTACATCTCACTTAGTTTCCAACCCTTTAAGCCCCCCAAAGACCCTCCAGGTCAACCCCCCTTTGTTGGGGAGGGCGGCGAAGGCCTCACAGGTTTTCCGCCGAGCAGCTGGGGTTCTGTCCATCGTCTCCCCAACCTCCCCAGCAAGCGCCCAGCTTCACAATGCGGTTCTTCCCCGAAGACGAGGCGATTGTCTCCTGACCGAGAGAGCGAGAGCCCTGGTCTAGTTCGTGGAGGCGATGATGGAGGGGTTTCCATGCGCGGGGCTCCCTTTAGGCAGGCAGAAAGGGAGGTTGATGTTGGAGAGGAGAGATGCTGGGGGGTGTTCTAAATGCCAAAGAGGGCTTGAATTCAGCTCTCGGAATTCAGTTTGTCCGGATCCAGTGATTGACGAACAAGATGCCTCTGAGTCAAAGTCGAAGCTCATTCCCTGTCTAGTAACGCATTACTACGTAGTCCATTTGCTGTGCAGGGATTTTTTCGCAGGCCACAAACCAGGATGCAAATACACCCACACTCACGTTTTCCAAGAACCCCTTGAAACTCGGCATAACTCGGACTCTTTCCCTTGAAGGGCCACCCCAGACTCGACCCGTGGGAACTGTCCAGCTTCAGAAGGGTGTGACGCGTAAGTGTTTTGGAAGGGTCTGTTCTGATGGGCCCACCAATTGATTGCCGAACAACCATTTGCACTACAAAGGAATATCAAGGATCATACAAAACCAGGTCCCTTCGAAGATCCTTCGGTGGAGGGCCTTGATGGTTTGGGTCTTCCGTTTTAGGGACCTTCCTGGTGAGTTCCCCCACCACGACCACGCTGCTCGTTCGTCCGGGACTCGCTCAGGAAGAATTGCTTGCAGGTGTTGTAGGTCCAAGTCCCCACCTTCAGGTGTTGCACATCACATCACATCCGGAGACAGGTGAAGGCGGGCGGGTGGAAGGCATCCGGACAGGGACAGGGAGATCGGCCAAAGGCGGAGGACCGCAAACAACGGTTTGTGGCGGAAGCAGGCAGGCGTGAAACAGAACGGCAACCAACGGCTTGCGCCGCCCCCAAAACGCGGAGCGTGTTCCGAAGCTTTCGAACCGCATGGTCCGGAAATCCGAGCAGAAAGCAGAGCGTCCGTTCTCTGCGAAGGAATTGGGTCCAGACTTCTGTTGGTGAAAGCGGGCCCTCTGAGTCTGGGGGGTCTGACCCTTCTGCAGGTCTTTGCTCCGTGGTAGGCCGGAGTGGGCAGAGCTGAGACGAGCAGACGCCAGAACAAGAATCCAGCGCCCCCATACCAGGCCCGGGGTGGTCAGTGGACATCCCGAATCACCTCTAAGGAGCTATAATTGGACACCCCGAAACGCGGGCCCTGGTAGAGGAGGTTTTCTTTTTAGACACCCCGATGCATCGTTTGGCGGGATGGGGTTGCTCAAGGCTCGCATGGCCCGTCAGCACTCGTCGTTGAGTCGAAACACGACATGAAACACGCACCTGGACCCTCCAAGGGGTGCCCAATGGAAGCCTATAAGGTAGTGTGGGGTAGTCCATTGGACACCCCTTAGAGGGGTCCTGGCAGTGAAGCTTGTCACTTGTAAAGCTATCCCAGACACGACCAGTCTGGGGGGGTGGTTGTGCGCTTGGAAGGTCTGTCTGGGACTGGCAATCCGACATGGCAGTCCCAGACAGGTCGTGTCTGGGTATGGATTAATTCAGCACCTTCATTGGATCACCTGGATGGTTTCGCCCCAAAACCACTCTCCGGGATCTCCCCTGCATCTCCCGGACACCCCTGGCCCCTACAGGTCCCGGTCCAGGATCAATTCGATCTCTCGACTACCATTGGAACTTTAAGGTTAAGAACAGTAGACATCAGACTCTTGATTAACAAGTGCACCCAGATTGACATGGAAAATCCTCTTCATTATGGGGGGTGTATGATTTATATTTATTCATCAAGAGATAATCTCAAGAGTCTACATTATTTGACGTCTCCTCTCACCTTTCACCTCATGTCTCCCACTCTTCCCCCACCACAACCCAAACCGACGCACCGGCCGGTCGAGAACCGCCTCGGCGAGCCATTCGACGTCGTGCTGCTGCTGCCGTGTGAGTGACAGGACCGCCAAGAGCATCCCAGTCTCAGTGACTCCAATTCGAATCAATTCGACAGATCTTCAAGGCTTCCAATTCCACGGGTGGTGGTGCCGGTTCATGTTGCAGTCTAGAGAGAGAGAGAGAGAGAGAGAGGAGAGAGAGAGAGAGAGAGGAGAACACAAACAAAAAGAAAAGTGGTCCAGAAATCTCGGTGCTCCTGAATTGATGAGACATGTCCCCCCAAAACAGCCCCACGATAGCCGGCGTCCACATCCGCCGAAGGGCCATGGCGTCTTCGTCGCCGTCCGGCGCAGAGCCCTTCCCGAGCACCGTGGTCAGATTGTCGTCGAACTTCCTCGATGCGCGTCCCACGCGACGCGGCACGCGACGCACGTGGGAGGGCGTGATGAAAGTGGAGGCCCGGGGAGCTGAGGATGGCAACTGAGGATGGCAAGCCAGAAGATCCAAAGAAAAGAAAAAACTGTTTTGCAGTGAACAGAGAACCTCCAATACCGTCTACGTGTTTTTTTTGGGGGTTCGAGAAATACACCTTTGCCACCGCTGGTCCAGCCCCCCAAACATTTGAACTGGGTCGCCAGAGGATTGGCTGAAGAGGTCTAGAAACACCCATGATGACCTGTTGAGGGGCCTTGCATTCGGCTCGGTTTCTCCCCAAACCAGGATACCTTGCTTGGCCGCAGGGTCACGTTTCGTTCCGGGCTGGGGTGCCATAGACATGGCACATCAGAACCTACCTGCAGGACCTCTTATCTTCGAATTCCAAGCGCCAACATCTCCCAGTTGCCCTGTGTTCAATACCTAGACCTCCCAAGCAGGTGGCCTCGACCCCCGAGCGACGGACTGACTTGGGAAATTGTGTAGCTCCAGGTGTCCAATGAGGTAAGCAGGGATTTCCATCGCAAAGGAAGCCCGCGTCTTCCTGGCAGGAGTCTTCCTTCGAATACTCACCTCGCTCGTTGGGCTTCTGCACGGAGGACCCGTGGAACCCGGTCGCAGTTGTGGGGATAGCCATGGGTCGCTGGTCTGGTTCTTGCGGGGATAGCACACGCCCTGTCTTCACCCAGAAACGGAAGGCTTGGAAGGCGACTGGTGGGTGTTCCAGCACCGAAACCGACCTTCTAGGGCGCCCAAACTCGGGGTGTCCACAAAACGTGGTCTTAATTGAAAGAGATTGTGTGGTTCTTCACCACCAGGGGGTGGGCCTCAGAGGGGGTTCCTGGATTCTTGTTCATGCTTCCAGGAGTCCCACATACTTAGTCCGGACTCAAGAATCCAACTGAAAACCCCCAGCTGCGCTCGACTCTGGCCGTGTTTGTTCTTCAGTGTTTGGGCTTTTTCCAAGAGGCACATCCGTCGCCAGCCCAGAAACATCTGATAGAAATACACCTGGGAAGGTGAAGAATCTTAGGCCCTAAGGGATCCAAGTACTACTCAGGTACGGTGATGTGTTCGATACTCTCATGTAGGTTTTGAGGGTCCAGTCGTACTGAACCTGAGGTTCGGTACTCCGCAGAGCCCAAACACTCCATGTGTGGCACGTTTACCTACATTGGGGTGGTATCAGGGGTCAAAAGTAGGCATGTAATATCATACATGAAGAGTTTGGGTAACAATCTCACATCCACAACTGAGTGTGTCCACATGTTTCCAGTATGTTCCACTAACATTCCTGGAACGCTCAAACATCTTCAAACAAAGGCACCTTCATCTGCTCCCAGTCCTCGTCTTCGGGTGTGAGCATGGCCAAGAACGCTCCGGTGAGAAGCACCCCTTAGTACAGCCGAGGTCAGATTCCGGCAACCGGGGTGTTCAGCTTTACATTCTCACCAAAGATCAGTTTCTTTCTTCCCATGTAAGCGACAGTGGCATTTTGCCTATAGGTAAATCCACAACGTTGTTTGATCCTGCCACATGAAGGCCATACTTGGACACCCACATGAAAATTGCCAGGACCATTTTCTGGAAGGTTTCCCAGGATCTAATCTCAGAGATCACAGAGAGGGCGTTGATCCACCAACCCAGCTAGCACGGCAGCCGGGTCCACCACCCTTTTTGGTGCGTCCAGGCATCCATAGCCCTGGCCCTCACTGACCACACCACCGGCAGCGCCACCACTTGAGTGTACGGCCCTGGCATCCGAGCCATTCACGGGTTGATTGGTGAGGCTGTCCTTGGAGCGTTGCTGAGAGTCACTTAGATAACAAGCCTCGGCTTTCGGATGTATTGGGTGGGCGATGCGACTGAAAGCAGTCAGGTGAAGAGGGGCGGCCCCCTTTCCATTGGTGGCCGGCACCCAAGGCATCCCACGAGAGAAACGATTCTGGACCTAGGACAGAATGTGGGAGGAACGGACCTTTGAAGATGTAAAGTGTTGTGAATACCGCTTTGATGAGGAGGGCTATACAACGCTGTTGCTGCGTATCAAATCCACGGCCCTGACCATTGGTCAGATGGAAAGATACGGAAAGTGGACTTGGTGATCTGACATGAAACAATCTTTGATGGGCAAGACCTTTGCCAAACGACTCCATTTCACAAATAGGTACCACCCAAAGGCGGGCAAAAAGTTGACCAACACCCGTGGTACCCCGCTGATTCCCTCATGTGTGTCAAAGGCACCTGGGTTGCAACGTCAGCTTTTAGTACCCATCTGCCACTACCTATACTCTTTGCTGTTGGTAGGAGCGCTCCTGTACAGGTGAAAAACCATAGGTATGTTGCATGTATGTACGCTGGTGTGGCCATCGCTATTAGGTTGGAGGTTGGCGGCCATCGCTCTGAGGTTGGAGGTCATTGCTTCTATATAAATTGTTAAATTAGGATCCAATATGATAAACGCGATCTTCCCTATCGCTGGACCTCCAAGACATCTGGAATCGGCCTGGCCCACCATCGCTTATAATCAGTGTTTTTAGAACCGCTAATCATGGTCTGCACTTGTTGCACTTCATCCATTGGTCTAGCCAGTCGCCTCCTTTCATTTTGAAAAAAAGCATCGAACCGAAGGATCCCGCCTCCCCCCCACACCTTCACTCCCATGCCACGATGAACTCATAGACCCGCTTCCGCCCACTGCCCGCCGATCCGGTCACAAAGACCCGCCCCGGGAAGTGCAGCGGCACCTCGGGGCCTCGGGGCGCGACCGCCGGCGACGCGGGGCAGGTGTTTAGGCGCTGGGGGGTGGAGATGGAGGGTGCTTTGAGGGCTTTGAAGAGTTGATGCGTGCTGCCATAACCCCGAAAGCATCAACGTGACGCATGCACGAAGAAGCGTGGGTTCGGCCTGACTGGGGCCGAAAACGAAGGGGTTCCAGCGAAACTCCTCTCCCCCCAACGGAGGTGGTATACATGTGCTTGTGTGTTTTTTGAATGGATGAATTAGCCGAACACCTGAACAACCATCGTCGTTTCCAATTTACATGATACACTACAAAACCCTAGGCTCTACAAACCCAGTTCTTGAGATGAGTCAACAAGGATAGCCCGGCGAAGGCATCCCAGGTCTCCGAACTTCCCAGGTCGCCGGTGACGACGCATCCACGGAGCATACCGCGCCAGGACCCTCGACCTTCCTTTTCGGCCACCTGGAAATCAGAGGGTCGCCGGATCAAATCATGTTCCCAGACGCTCCGTTCACAGCCCGTCCGGTCCCTCAAATCCTAAAAATTCCAGACCCCTCCAGAGGATTCGGGTCCGACCCCACCAAAGGATTCGGGCCCAGGGTTGAGTCTGGGTTAAACAAAAAAAGATAAACGTTAGCCCTCCGCCTTCAAAATGGGTCTTCGTTTCGCCCTTCAATCTACCATATGTCTTTTTTCCGGGCACCCGGTCCATCTGTATATGATCCCAGAAAAGTATAAATCCATACTTTTACGGGAGCATATCAACATGGCTTGGGCAAAAAAAACACCGCGCGGGGGTGAGTTCCCCCGTTCCTTTCAACCCCCCACCATCTGGTCGTTCCGTTCGCTCCGCTCTGTCCGCTTCGTTCACGGACTCGTTGACGAGCTCAGCCACTCGGATCGGGGGGGCGTCACCAGCTCACAGCTCCAGGGAGTCCTGAAGTCCTCGGATCGCGACCGAACGAGTCAGACCGCACCGCCTCGCGCGCCTCACGCGCCTCACGCGCTTGGGCGCATCAGACCAACCGGGAGAGTGAGTTTCGTTGGGCCCCTGCCGTCCGTAGAGGCGTGGGCCGGTGAGTTCTAAGAGAGAGACCCCCCCAAGCACCCTGAAAGTGTCGGTCTCCCAATTTCAAACAAAACACGCCGAGTGTTCTAGTTCAGGCTCAGCTATGGTTCCAACTACCTCCGTGTTTCACGAAGGTTGCTTAAGGTGTGTTTTGGGGGGTCGAAGTACTGAGGATGTGGGACAGGAGCCATAGAGATACAGTTGGTCCTTTGGCTTTAGTACATTCCCTTGCCGTCTCACAAGACGTTCGCCGGAGCCGGAGAGAAGCCTTTCTCGGTCTTTCAAGGGTTCCGGATGGTTCCACAATAGGGACCCAAGGCAAACCACTAGATAAGGAACCAGGGATTCGGAACCGGTCGAACTGGTTTGGTCGTCGAACTGGAACCACTGGGACTCCCAGCGAGCTCTCGTGGTTTGCCTGCCTGGATGCCCTGGGTAAGAGAAGCAAGAGATGTTCCATGCTTCGATGGCTTCCGGCGACCGACTGAGGCGTGGCCGTGCATCCCGGCCAAAACCGTGCATGGGAGTATACTTCTTGCTTGCTGAAAAGTTCATATTCTGACTCACATTCTCATGGAAGTGGAAAACAAACGAAGATGGAGGAACAGAAGATCCGGCCTCCTCCATGTGAAGAGCCGCACGAAATCCAAAATCAAACTGGGGGGCAAGTCTTTTCGGATTCTCCATAGGTTTCCTCAGCCCGACACAAGGATCACAAGGGTCAGTATGGTCACTTTTGCTGCTCCTCGCTTCATCACTTTCCAAACACCAGCTATTCAGTCTCCTACACCTGCAAAACAAAACATATTAAGCTTATATGGAACATATGGCTGGTTTCCAAAATGTTTTTTCCCAAAATGGTGCACTCATCGCAATACCATGGGGGCCCGCTTCTGAATCTCCTTTAAACTCCAACCACGCTCAAACCACAGGGATGTTAAACACGGAGGCATGTCAACTGCAAAACGTGTGAGAGGTGTCTAGCGCGGACCTTTTCAAGGGCCTGTTGAGCTGCTGGAGCTGCTGGAGCCTTTGCTGCTGCTACTGCTGCTGCTGGACTTCTGCAGCTGTTTCCAAATTGTCGTCTCAAAAGTCTTCAGAACAACATACGAAGGACGTAAGAGCTGACTCAAAGATTTGGAATGATTTGGATGTTGGATGGGCAGGTGGTCAAGAAATCGTATATATCTTTCCTCTGTCTGCTTCTTCTTTGTCCTGCTTGCTTGTCTTCTTCGTGTTGTGCATTATTATTATGGTCATTCTTCGTCCTTGTTCTTAATTGTTTTTTGTTTTCTTGTCTTGCTTCTTCTTATTCATCCCGCTCTCTGCTTGTTTCTTCTTTATCCTGCTTGCTTATCTTGTTATGAAGAATCCTAGCGCCAACCTAGCGCTGCCTTGCTGTATCACCATAGTCTTCTGGGGGCCTGCTTCTAAACGAAGACTTAAAGCACATCTCCAACCACAAAAGTTTACGTTTATCTATTTAGTTTGAGTAGGGCTTTTTGAGCGCAGTCCATACATTGCAATATCTGTCTGCAAATATGATCTAAAACCAGCCAAGTTCGGCAGAACATGTTGCATGGTTGGAAGATCCTATAGGTCTCTCTCTCATTGCCTTTGGCAGATCCTCTATACCGAAGCTCGTCCTCCTCTTCCAGTGCCTCCCCAGAAGTTCGCCCGAGACGCCGGCGGATCGTTCGGATCCACCTCGCCCGGGACACAGGCGCTGCGGCACGCGGCCCAGTGCCTCGGACGGCCGCCCGGAGCTGGGAGGTCACGCAGGCGGGAGGAGCGAAGACGCTGGTCATGTCATGTCATGTTTGGTGGGGAGAGGATGAACACCATGTCATGAATTCACATGTTTTTGATCGTTTTTGGTTGGTTCTCTCTTCGCTTCAACCGTTTTCACCCGCTTTTCACCAAGATGCTCGTCCTTTTCGTAACAGGTGTAGCTGGGATCCTGACAACAGCCTGTCGATCGGCAATCTTCGCCTGCCAAATGGAAGACATGCGCGAGGCATTTCGGTGGGTCCAAACGATTCCCACCAGATTCCTGGAAGAATCAGATGCATTGGATACCTCCTTGCTTTGTCCTGCGGGAAAGCTTCTTGGTGCTTCAAGAACTTAGAGTTCCAATGAAACAATATGAACTGTCAAAAAAATACAACAAAACATAACCAAATGAATAAGTAAAATAACGTTAAAGATCAAAAAAATACGATCTGGTGGAACCTCCGAAAAATAAGGGTGCAGAAATGAATCTACACGTCCCTCCTTCCTGCACAACAGATACCGGTGATGCTTGTTGGATGCTCATGAGCTCATTTGTTGGTGGATCTAAACCACCAGGCCCTGGAGGCCCTGGGACCGGAAGGAAAGGATTCCTTCGGGAAAGCTATTCCTTCGTGTTCGCCCTTCGACCACTCCCCAAACGACACTCCTTGAGCCTGGTTTTGGTGAAAATCCTTGAACATTCTCTGTCAAACTATGCTGCTTGTTTAGGATTCAAGCCAATTTCGAATGAACTGATTCAAGCCAATTCTGTGCGATTCAGCCCAATTTCAAGGCAATTTCAATTGCGAATCCGATGTCCCTTGACCGCTAACAACCGCCTCCGTCCCAACAAAGATGGGCGTCAAAGACAGCATGAAAACCAACTCACTCGCTCACGAGTCACGAGTCATGCGGCAGAAAGAACACCCAAACCCTGCACTTCATCTTGGGGGAACCAAAAAACACCCAAACCGATCTTCCATGAGCTTCCAAAAAACTCCAGGGAGCTTCCAAAAAGACACCTGAGATGTTGGCTTCCATGTGTTCCTTCCAACATCCGCGGACATCGCCCGCCTGGGATGGAGCAGCGGCTCTCCACGCAGGTCTCCACCGTCCAGGTCGTCGTCGTGGTCGTGTGGGGCGTCGGTCGACCTGGAGATAATATGAAGACTCACGCGGCATGGAAGAAATCGGTAAAAGAAAACCTCCAGGGAGGTCTTGTGGTGAGTAGGTGGGAAGGACTGGGGGATTACAGGATGGTTGATGGACTGAACCATGGACTTCATCGAAAGCCATCGAAATAGCATTTGGGCCTTAGCATTCGTTTCAAAGCCGCGGA